GGGCCGGCGTGATAAGCTTTGTGCCCGTGTCTGACGGCGTAGCCATTATTTAGAACGTTATTGTACGGCGCCGCGGGAGTCTGGGAGTTTAGTGCTTGTTTAGTCCTCCGACCCTCTGAGTTTTTCACCACGCCTTTGGCCGCGACGGAGGCCCTGACGACGGCCAACAAGCCCTGGTAGCCCGTGCACGGGTGCGAGTAGGGGGTGTAGCGCTGACCTGTGGTGTCCAGGCCGTTGACCGTCTTGTTGAGTTGTCTGTGCTGCGGGACTCGAACGTCTGTCGGAAATATTCTGATGGACAGCGGATTGTTGGCGGTCTTCTGGGCAAAGGCGTCCAGCTCCGCAGGAGAAGGGTAGCGGGAGTTCATGGAGGTCGATTCACCTGAGAAGAAAACATAGAATCAAATATTGAATTTTTTTGTATCCATGCATTTTCTTTATTTTGAATATTATTATTTATGTTTAAATATATATATATTAAGTAAATATATATAATTATATATTTTTTCAATTTTCCAAATTAAAGCTGTTTACAGGTATACTGTATTGCTTTGGTAGGCTAGCCTGTGCTAATGGTAAGAGGATGGGAAGGTCACAGGTTCGATTCCCACCTTTGTGGTGTGTTGAGCAATTGCCCACCCCCCATTTTAACCGCCCAAAAACGCTCCCAGAAGTGAATGCTACTAAGCTATGCTACTCTTATGCTGTGCTACACTACATTATGATGTTCTACACTATGCTATGCTACTCTATGCTATGCTGCTTCTGCTAATCCTGAATCAAAGCACAACAGGCAGTTTAAGCATCTAATAACCTTATATAGAATTGTAATTTGTCTTATAGAACCTCACTGCCATGTGTGGTCGTACTGGTACACAACAGGATTTTTGTTTCCACGATGCTCTGAAAATGAAAATGACATTTGGGAAAAAACTTAATCTGTTAAATGTGACTTTAGCGTATGGGTCCAGAACGTCAATGCTGCTACGCTAGGCCACATGCTGCGCCGTGCCCGCTATACACTTCTCTTTCTTCTTCTTCTTCTTGTCTAGCACCATCTGGTGGTACAGTTACATGCTGTGTTTCCAGCCTCACAGTCTCTCCTTCCTCTGGAAGTTTGTTCCACGTTCTGCTTTTGTGAACTTGATGCCGGTGTAAAAAGAATCAGGGCAGAAGGTTTTTCGCCCGTGAATAAAAGCGCAGAGAGCGATCACCGAGTGCACTGCTGATTGAATTGTGTGTGGGAAAAGCTAACAGGACAAACTAAGATTGGATTTAAACACTATTATTCAGGCAATTTCATGGCTGCTTAACTCCCCGCAACAAAGGAGAGGTGGAAGAGAGGGCCCGTTTAAAAACAATAAATCTGCTGCTAGAAATTACCGCCACCTTTCTGAACGACACTTTAATGGAATTACTGACATAAAAAACAAAAGGTGCTGAATTTTACCCACACTGCACAGTGGAAACCACAGCGGGGCAAACAACAAGCCTTTAATCTGCAAGAAAAGGGGCTAAAAATAAAAAAAATAAAATAAAATAAAAACAAACAAAAACACTCCACATTCCATTTTCAATAACAAAACCAATCCCGGCTACGTTGGGGGAAAGGCTCACTTGTTGTTCCCATTTGAAATTGATTTGGGAGTTCATTTCATTCCAGGCGTACAGTGAGGCTCCCGACTGTGAAAATGATTCAATCTACAAGATCCATCTCATGAAAGAAATAAATTGGGTGT